AGAAAACCAACAGTTTAAATGGGAGAAACCTCAGGGAGAGCAACAGAGGAGGGATCCCTCTCCCAGGACGGACAGACGTGCAATAGATGCCGTGTGTAAATTGAAAAGATAATACATTTACAACATAGGTTGTCCAAATGTTTGGAAATGCATGTGTGTGTGTATAATAAGAAGATGAATCCACGAGGATATCCATCCAGGACTTATGATCCAGGACCACAGCCACGACTCAAGATCCAGGGCTCGCGATCCATGACACAGGACCGCAGCAACAGGATCATCCATGACTCCGGATCCCGGCGTAGATAGACACCGAAAAGAAATTTGGGGAAGCTGGGTTAATCGGAACATGAGAGTACACAGGTACAGAGAGAAGGAAGAAGTAAGGTGTCCCCCGACAAACTAAGCCTTTAGCAGCAAAACTAGGGGCTGAATCTAATCAGCCCTAACTATAAGCTTTATCAAAAAGGAAGGTCTTAAGCACACTCTTAAAACGAATAGGCTGTCAGCCGCCCGAACTCAAACTGGAAGCTGATTCCATAAATGTGGAGCTTGATAAGAAAAGGCTCTAGCTCCCATTGTACTTTTAGAGACTCTAGGAACAACCAACAACCCTGCATTCTTGGAACGCAATGCCCTAGTAGGACAGTAGGGTATAATGAGTTCTTTAAGGTAAGATGGCGCCTGCCCATTAAGGGCTTTGTAGGCGAGAAGAATTTGAAATTCTATCCTGTGTTCTATAGGGAGCTATGTAAGGCAGCCGGAACAGGAGTAATGTGTAGAAGATATTATAAGCTGTATTCCCGGGGTAAATGACCCAAGGTGCAACCTGCTGAGAGTCATGTGACCCCCACCACCTCAGCTCCTCAGTGTTATGTAACCCCCGGGTTAAGAGTGATGGTTGGAGGGGGTTTATTTCCGTACTCTGACGCTCCTGTGTGACATTCTGCACCGACCCAAACAGATACCTCTTATAGTTTATGTTTTTCGCATTTCCCCTAGACACATTTGCGACAGGAAATGACACACATGTACAGTGAAGAGTCATGATAACAGTGTGGACACTGATATAGCAGTGGGAACAGCCAAAAAAACACGGAGAAAGGAAAAGGGAAGGACCAGAAACCAAAACAAAGAGCGGAGCCAGCCAGGAAAAGCACTGAGCAGTGGGAACCGTGTGCCTTCTCGACTTCTTATTAACAAATGGGTCTGCTTTGTTGGAGGGTTTTTCCTTATCACTGTCAGTGGCTCCGCTCTTTGTAGTGTCCGTAAGGAAGAGAAGAGGGAGAGGGGAAGAGATAGTCTGAGGGAAAGAAACAAATGGGCACACAGAGAGTTGGGGAGATGAGTGAGGTGAGATAATACTGGGAATTGAGAAGGGGAAAAAAACATGCTCACATTTGGAGATGCTGAATAGACAATGAAAAGGCTGGATGGAGTGGGAGTGGTTCTTTTGGCAGATAGCCCCCGCAGCTGCTTTAGACAAGGCCCCTACGCAAAAAAGATCAGGAATAAGTTAGCCACACTGATGCACACTTTCTCTCCCACAAACACACACACACGTGCACTTTAGCGACCTTCACTTTTTGGCAGCGGCTGCTTGCTTTTGTTTTCTGAGAACGGATTAAAATATGTCTCAGAAATTAGAAGGTGGAATCTGGGCTCATCTGCACCCTTTAAGTTTATTTATATTATACAGTGTATATATACTATTTTGTATGTTCTTTCCCACTATGATTAGGTATGTCATTCCTGTCATGCTATGTTTTTTCTTTATTATTTCTTGTTGGCTGTTATGTTTGTCTTCTATGTTGAAAAAAGGGAAGCATAATTTCCACCCCAAAGAAGTCTGTACTATTGCTTACACTTGTATGCTTCTTCTCAATACAAATATTTGAAACGAAGAAATTAGAAGGTGGGAGGCTCCTTCCGACACAATTTGATTATGTTATCATGGAGTAATCACATCTTAGTTTAAACATTCACACTCTTCTAACAATACAAATGCTTTTATAATGATTCTCTCCTCCTTAAGTTTTTTTAACGTTTTGTTTTTCTCTTGTAATAGTTCGACACAAGATGTTAAATGGCTCTATGAAGTAATTGAAGTAGTGTGTTTCCTAATAGATAATAAGTGTTTTCTGACAATGACTTTGGGCAAAAGTAAGGTGTTTCTTAACAGCCACGTTCCAAAGCAAGAAGCAAATATAGCGATCAGAGACGAATGAGACTCAATAATAGTTACAATTAATGATCACAGCTCCTTCGATAGCCATAAAAGGTAACAAAGGTGCTTAATGTCACTCAGCTGGGCGATTGTGAAATAAAGTAGGTGTGAACTTGGATGGTAGTTTTCGAAAAGTTACAGAAGTGGTTGGTCAAAGGGCAAGCAAAGCGGGTTTTCAATTGCTTATTGATCATCTGACAACCACTTACATCCTTAATGTTGCCATTTTCATTCAATTGTGATACTATAGATACATGACAGAAGTGCAAAGCTAGTTTATGGATGTTTATTTGTTTTATTATTTAAAAAAGGTTAAGAATTAAGTGTAATGTTCAAAGCAAGATTTTTTTACATGCACAAACATATTAATCTCTTTCGTTTGAGTAATATAATTTTCATTCATGGTGAAACACTAGGAAAGAGCTGAATGACCAAAAGCATATTTTCGGAGAAGTCAGTTCCTCAAGTCTTATGTCCCGAAGTTTCAGAGCCGTTGCATAACTGCATGAGTACAGGATAATTCACAGATACCTCCCTCTCTTCAGTCAGCAACTCCAGGAAACCTGACATGAATGTGCAAAACGCTCCTGCTGCTATCTAGAAGCATGAGCTGCATGTTGGTGTTAGTTGTTTGTTTGTGTTGGATGCAACTAGCACATCATTACCGTCTGTGCAGCACAGCGGGTGCTCCAACTGACAGTAAGATGTCCATACACATTCACACAAGAACACACAGACCAGGCTTTGTCCTGAGGGGACACGATGTTCTGTTGACCCTGCAGTGGGAGGACAGAGGAGGAATATTGAGAGCAGTGATGGTGACATGTCCATTAACATGCCTGTGAGAAACAGCACCCCACCTAGACCCCAGGCAACCCCTCTCTGACTCTGCTTATTTAACTTAGTGTGTGTGTGTGTGTGTGTGTGTGTGTTGTACTGTACGCCGGCATGTCATTGTTGAGGATCTCTATGCAGTTCAGTGTGTTGTTTATGTCCGCATGCTTTGAGTTTTTCTGAAACACATACGCACACATCACACGTAAACATGTGAATACAAATGACACACTCTTGTCAGCCATTCATCGATTCTCAACTTGCTATCTATAGTGGTTATGCATCATCCAAAGTATTTGTCCTAAAACGTTAACAGTTGTAGTGATTATGTTAGTCAAACTGACTTAAGACCTATGTACACAGGTATTTTTTAAAACATAGCTTTTCTGCAGTTTAGGTCTTTCGTCCACATCCTAACAGCATTTTTCATCACAGAAAATAAACTTTTGTAAAACTAAACTCTAATATATTTAACTGTCAACAGATTGTTCACTATGGTAAAAAGTAAAATATAAGTTCCTATGCTCACAGACATAAATACATGTTTGATCTGCTTCTTCGACATTAATTGATAGAATTATAAACAAACTTAACATAGTTCAGCATTAGTGTTTTTTGGCATGTTTTGCCTTTTTCTAATGTAGAAACATATCGGCCCAAATATAAGATGACTCAGCCTGTTTTAGTAAGAAAAACTTTTGAAGGAAACTTTGACAGTTTCCTGGTGGTACTGTTAGCTTAGGCATAAGATGAAGATTATCCTTAAAGCCTTTATCTCTGGTAAAGTGAAACATTAAATCCTTTAATTAAAGCGGAATATAAATCTTCAGTCACAAAACCAAAGCTCATACTCTCCAGTCAGACTGTGAGGAGCTGTATGAATGATTGTCTCTGGGTGTTAGCATCTTTCATTTAGTTGCCTTTGTTAACTTCTCAGGGTCTTTTGTCTGTAGGTCAAACTAAAGACTGTTAACTGAGTAACACACTATTAAAACATAATTTCTAGGGGCCACTTGAAACTTTGTTGAAACATGTTGTTGATGAATGATAGAAAGGTCTCACTAACATGCTCTCGTCATCTCAATTAATAAATCAACCAACTAAATATGAACTGGCATGCTAACAGGAGTGATTCATTGGGAAAGTTATTGAAGGACACAGCTGTAAGTTCACGTGCCGCCTTTCTATTAACGCTCTTGTTAAATCGATGTCATTGTCATTGTTCTAGCTCATAACCAATGAGCTGCAACTCTGATTTCGTGTGTGTGTGTGTCCCGTCAGTCCTCTTTTCCTGGCTGCTTCCTGTTCAGATCCAGGGGTGTGTTCAGCTTCCTTCCTGTGCTGCCACAATCTTAGTCAGGCTTCCTTTATGTCCTCCAGCTTTATGAAATCCACTGTGTATGTTGGCTTGTGTCTCGATGCATGAAGCACATGCAGCTGTTGCGCCAAAAAATGGGACACAGGGCTTCTCCTCTGTACTTTGGTGTGACCCCCACTCTGTGCACACAAACAAATCCCGAAACACCTCTGAGGTCAGAGGCCCGATAAGAAAACACATGAAGAAACTTTCCCACAGTGATGTCACCGCTTGTGAAAATCTTGTCACAATCCAGCCTGTTACTTTGAACTGTTTATCTTTTTTATTTGGTTATTTTGCTCCTGCGTCACCGGTACCTGCTGAGAGGTTTCCGTTGTCACACTACTGGCTCAGACACTTACAGACGTTGCAACTCAAAAATACAAACAAAAGGGAAATCTTTGCTCTTGTTTTTGTGGTTAGCACTTCTCCATCATTGATGAAATGGCAATGTCCTTGCAACACAGAGAAACGTTTCTGCTTCTTGTCTGGGTGCTTGTTGTTTTGACCCTTGCAGACCTTATTGGCTGCTTGTTTGTGCCGGTATTTCACCAGTTAATGCTGATATTGCTGTGTTGTGATCTGGATAAAGAGAGAGTGCCTGATACTACTCAATGCTACTGTGACTTCCATAGCAAATACACTTGAAAAATGTCATTGTTCACATAGATATATGGTCAATAATTGACTAATCATTAAGCGTGGAAAATACCAAATGCATGCTTTTCCCTGACATGGGCCATTTTATAGTCTCACCTTGAAGTATTTGGGTAAACACAAGCAAACAATTTGATTAAATTGATCAAATTAAATGATTAAAATATGTTTCAATGCTGTATAATCGTAGGAGTGTAAGCGGAGGCAGATGCCTTGACGTCACGGGGGAGAATGTTTGTAACCAAAATGATGTGATAAGGAGAAATGAAACAATGATAACGAAATCAGGATACATTTTAAAAACTGCTGCTCCTGCAAAAGATAAAAGCAAATTCTGGACAGACTTTCTGGTCTCTCAAAGGTCACAGAAATGTTGGTCTGAATTCAAGTTTTCTTAAAGTCTTCGTGTCCGCCCATCCAGATATAAACGCAACTCAGTAGTGTGAAACTACACCTGGGTCAGCATCATTTGATCACGCTGAAGTAGTGTGGACTAGGCATGAATGTTGTTCTTTTTTTTATGAAAACGTATTATTGGATGTAGCGTCAGTGTACCGGTATCAGAGGGTGGATGTGTTTATTGAAGGGAGCTGCTGACAGTGAAGTATATGGAGCGACAGGATTAGGCTCACATTGAAAGGCCTGGTCAGTGTCACTGTATCTTGGCCCTCTGGATGCTTCTCTGGCCTGTCTGAGGTCATGAGACTGTGTCTGTGTGTATGTGGCTGCCATAGAAACCGTGGCGACGTCTGATACGAGGACCTGTCCCCTATCTCGCCCTGTGGTAGAATCCACTCCTGAGCTCTTGTGAAGTACTTTGGTAAATATGCACTGTAACACACACACACACACACACACACACACACACACACACACACACACACACACACACACACACACACACACACACACACACACAGATAGCTGGCACTACTGATGCCCTACATGCCAAAGCAGAAGTTCCTTTAAGGTTCACTGTTAAAGTTCATTGTTTGTCTCAAAAATGGAAAATTCAGTGCGTAAAAAAACAGACAGACTGGAAACAAAACGGGAAGAATTCAAGAGCATTTTTAAAAGCAGCTCCTGTGAAAGCACTCGACTGTCATGTGCCCTGTAAGATTCATAAAATTACATTTTTTCCGCTACAGTGTCAGTCTAGGCCCAAAGAGAGTCTGGCTTTTGGACCAATGAGCGAATAGGTCCCTGCATCTTGACACCTTCCCAAAATACCCCACAGAAGAAAGGGTCGGTTGCATCAACGCTCCTAATCAAACACCTCGGAAAGCCAAACTTTGTCCCTAAATATCTCACCCACAGCTTGTATCGTTTGTTTCCTCTCAAACAAAATAACTTGCACAACCCCACTTCAGAGCAAACGTTCTCGTACGAAGCCCACAAAACACCAAAATGTCCCCTAAAGAAAGGCCTCTGTCTGGCTCTGAAGAGAAAACACAATCTGTCCACAGAGAGAAAAACACTTTTCAAGAAGCCAGTGTTTTTTAGAATTCACGGGGAAAAAAAAGCGTGGAAAACACATTTGCCTCGTTCTTTCACAATTCGTTTCACTGCTCTATGATCATTTCAGCTGTAGGAGTGTCAGTGTGATGAGATGCCTGGACGTCACAGGGGGAATTTTTGTAACTAGGACGAGCCGATAAAAGCAAGTAGCAGTAGTTGTGGTGTCAAAACAACAGATACGAGGAAGAAAAATGATGCCAAAAGTCTTGAAATTGACCAGAAAGTGCAGCAAGCTCATTGAGCTGGGAAAGGAAGTCTGATGATCTTACTGTAACTAGGTTGTCTTTGTAGTGGGGTCTGCAGGGTGCTAAGAGGGGGCCCTGTTTTCCATGTGCACTGTACATACTCAGTAGTCCTCTTCAGGCAGGCTGTCAGTATGTGGAGCAGCCGTAAAGGGCCTTGGCTCCCAGCTTTCTGTTCTGTTCTTTTCACCGAGCTGACAAATTTGTTGGGGTTTGAGCTGTAGCATCTGTTGCTTTGAGGGGGCCTGCTATTTATCAAACTGAAGTGGAGTCTGCTGGGAGCCCAACGGGAAAGAAACATGGCTTACTATATAGGTTACCCCCCCCTTCTTCTCCCTCTCTTTTACCCTCGGCCCTGTGTTGCCTCGCTCTCAGTCTGAAATGTTATTCTGAGCTGTGTTTGTGCGAAGGGACTAACTAGGGGGGTGGGTGGGAGGTACTGAAGGAGGGAAGGGATTGAAGAGGGAAAATAAGAAATATAGGATATGACATACAGTATATTCCGTGACTCCCTCCCTATGGTGTTACAGTTAAATCCATAAAAATAAATAATTTCTTACAGATTGAGTTTCTAAACTTGGCACCCCAATGTTGCTTTTTAATAACTCTGTTGCAATAGTTAGATACTGAGATGTAGTTTGTCCTCCGGCTTTTCAGGAATCCACCAGTGCGTTCTTAGAAAGACTGAAATGAGGGAGAGAAAAAAATAGTTGGATCAATCCCAGAAGCCTCGGAGCAATAAAAGAAGGTTTTGTTGTTTGTTTTTGTGTCGTTGTAGGAGACTCACAGGCCACAGACAAGTTTTGCATAACAAGACTTGTCATCACAGGAACATATTGCGGTAATTCCTCACCTTTTTGACAATTTAGCTATCTGCTACATACATTCTCACACAAACACACTGACACTCTTCTCTCTGAGACGAGTGATGCGTCAGGCCGCCCTCAGGCGTGACTCCTGCTTCGACCACATTGTTCTGAACCGTCCCATTGACAAAAAACAAGGTTCAGGGGACACTATTTTAAGGCGATGATGAAAGGCAATGAGGAAAAATATTAACAAAAGAGTCAAGGAACAGGGAAAGGTGGGTGGAAGAGAGTGGAAAGACAAGCATTCATTGACAGGACAGAAGTCAACAGCTTGACAGAAAACCCCGGAGGCAGGACTCGGTGAACTACTGTGTCAGGTAAACAGGAAATGAGGTTACATATCTAACTTTTAATAATACAGTCTCTTGGTCTATTGACCTCTCACACCATACAAAATCACCTTCTTTTTTTTTTGATTTTTTTCTTTCCCTGTCACTTTTGCTTCTTGCTTTTCTTTGAACCTCTTTCTCTTTTCCCTCTCTCCTGCCTGTGATGTAACTCTCTCTAACAAACGAAGGAAGGAGGTGCTCTCTGCCGCGCGCACAGAGGCTCCATTCATACAGCGTTGTTTTCAAAACTTTACATATTTTTTGCACAAGAGCACAAATAGCTCACATTTTTCTCCCGCATCTGCCGGCCGGCCGCAGCCAATAAGTCCTTTATTTATGTAAGTTGAGTCTTGTTATGGGTTTAGCTGCCCCAAAACATGCCTCCTGACACGCTACAGAAAATGGAAGAGGGAGAAAATGCTGGGCTGTTTTTTTCCCCCCTCCGTTAACATGGGCTGGGACGAGCAAAGAATACAAACAGTTTTTTGCACACAGGCTAGAGGCTCTTCCTCCTTCTCTCTCTCTCTTTCTCTCTCTCTCTCTCTCTCTCTCTCTCTCTTTCTTTTTCGCTCTGTCCTCTTTTGCACACCCACACACACTTCTGCATTCTCTCCAATCAAAACGTTCATGCTGAGCGGCAGCAACTGGTCAACAGGATGTGAAACCCTCCTTTCTGCTTTTTTCCTTTTCTTCTTCTTGTCAGTATTGACCTTTCCTCTACTTTTTCTGCACTAAAGCTCACTCTCAGTTTGTTTGGTTGATTTTTCGTCCTGTGGCATTTCGACTAACAGCAATACCCTCTGCGTCTTGCACTGAGCACATCTGGGTCTTGTAAACTTTCCATTTCTGCATTTAAGTCTGTGCAGACTTGCAGATAATCTCTGTCCAGCTCATTTGCTTTATGTGGCCGAGTCATTCCCATGTACTCGGGGAAAGGTGTATGCTGGGAGGCAGCGAACACTCTGCTGAGTCTCCCCCCCTCACCCCTCCCTCATGACTGGTGTTAGTGGAAGGGAAGATGACCATCTGCTGCCCCAGTTGCCCAGTGACTGGACAACAGCCTTCCCTTATGGCACAGTTCCACTGTCCATTGTCTCCTTGACACACACACACACACACACACACACACACACACACACACACACACACACACACACACACACACACACACACACACACACACTCAAGGAGAACCAAGTATTGTGTGAAGCTTTCCTGTGGGGGTCCCGCAGAGAACGCACCCTCACCCAGCTGGACGGCGCTCTGTGCTGCGAGCTGTTAGATGACTCGGCCTTACAGCCAGGTTAGTGGAGGGTCAGAGATTCATAAGGCTATAGGCCAAGACGTTGCTCGGGTGCACAAGAGAATAGATTTCCTCTCCAGACGTGTGTGCATGATCGCACACACATCCATGCACACTATTGTTATGGATCTCATCATTAGCCTTGAAAACATTAGGAAAACGTCGTGTGCAGAAGGAGGGGAGATGTAAAATCTGTCATAGGAAAAACTAGAAGGGAAGATCTCCGCTAAGGTCGTGACCTATGTCGCATTGTTAACGGAAGTTTCTTTATGTATCCGCACCTGATTCAGATCTGCTCCACATTTTATGGGTTCTTCCTTCGCCATTGCTACACCCTTCCACCAATTTTCATGAAAACCGGAGTCGATTTTCCGTAATCGTGCCGACAAATTGACAAACAAAGCAAAACGAAAACATTAAATTCCCGGCAGAGGTACTGAAAGCATTAACTGCCTTTTTAAAGGGGAGTTTAATACATTTGAATCGGAAGCATTACCATTTTTATATTATTCATGTGATCTTGGAGCTGAACTTCAGTTTGTATCCCCCCCTGGGGCATTTGGGGTCTCTCTGAAGGTGAGGGCACAGTGAAGGCGAGAGGAGGTTGCCTTGTTATCTCACTGTTCATGTTTTGTTTTACCAAAACAAAGTAACGCTAAAAAATGCTGTGGCTAACCCAACAAAAGAAATAAACAGCACTTTATGTGATACTGAAACCCAATCCGGTCGGTGTAGAGAAAGAAATATACCTACTCAGCAAATGCATCTTTATCTTCGACACCTCAGGAGTTTCACACGCTGCTTTTTTCTCTTTTCTGCATCTGAAATCGAGAACAAGAGTCCGCTTTTAACTCTTCCGATCACACATTTCTCTCCGGCTTTATTTAGTCAGTGTGATTTGAAAGTGTTGTTTGATTTTCTCACCCTCTGTTTCTCATTTCTCTGTCGTTTCTTCTCCTTCCTGTTGCACACTCTGTCTCTCTCACACTCAGGTGATGTTTGACTGTACTGATCTCTGTTACTCATTATCCCTCATCCAGTCCTGACAGTTAGCTGCTCTTCCCCTGCTCGCCTTGGCAGGAGCACAGCTGCAATCTGAGAGCCTCATGACGCTGAACTTCTCCTCCTAGACATTTAGCCAGGAAAACAAGCCTGGAGCCATGCATTTTTTCCCCCGCTGCTTAGCTAGAAGAATCTTGTGATCACATCCAGCTACAGATTTGTCAATGGTGCTTAAAGCTCATAACACATAGACGCTATTTTATGGGTGACAGAAATTACAAGGAGCTCTTTGGGTCATGCCAAATGCCTGTGTGTGGTTCAAAATGCTGTTAGTTACGTTTTTAATTACATTTTGAACCCCAAATGTTGCCTTTATTGCTTAATAATATGCAGTAGATTGAGAATAAAGGTTGATCAATGTTCCTGAGGAAAGCAGGGGGATCTTGGAGATTTGCGGATTGTGGTTGAGCCATGCATGCTCCTTTGATTTGATTGTGTGTGTGTGTGTGTGGGAAACCTGGCAGAAATCCCTTTTAGACTTTAACACACCGCTGTGGTCGCCTCTAATCCCTTAATGGGCTGACTCTGCACTGAAGCCGCACAAATACTGTTCCCCTCGGTGAAAATGGTGACAGAGGGTTTGTTTCTGTTAATGCTCCCCATGTATGTGCTCTGCATTACAGTGTGTGCATTAGTTGTGTGTAGTGTGTGTGTGCCTCCTCAGGTGAGTGGGCACAGATAGGTAATCTAGTGTACAGAGTCATCGATTTTCCCGCTGCACAGGAAGTGGCTGGTTATTGATTCTCAGAGAAAATGATGTCACTCCAGACGGTGTGGGCTGTTTGCTTATCCATGATAAGGTACGAGGCGCTTTCTCCCCACACACTGGTCAAATAATCCTCTTTACCTTTTATCACTCTTCTCCCATCACTCTTTCCACCCTCCATCTTTTCATTCATTGTGAATGCTCTCTTTAACCCCCCACATCCATTATGTGTGACATAATCGCTGATGAGGGACGTCAGCTGTAAGAGTCATGCATTTACTGATCTTTAGTAGATAGTAAAAGTTGTTATTAAAGTGTCAAATATGACCGGATGCCAATGTTTTCTTTGCGAGTAAATATGTATATGTACATTGTAATTTAGATAACTTGTCCTTTGTTTGATACACTTGATGCACATAAAAGCACAACATTATTTTAACAGAAATTCCATCTCTCAGTAGTTAAAAAGGCTTTTAGTTTATATAAATCCTATTGAATAAATGTACTTTTTTTCGCTGTTGGGTGAAAACTCTGCTTCATCATGATGATATTGTCCTTTTTCTTCCTCTTTTCAAAGTATTGGATAGTTTCGTTTTTACTGAGTTTGTCACGCAACTATGCAAAGGTTGCTGAGTTGGCTAAACCATGTCCTATTACTGCTTATCAACTCCTTAATAGATTAATCCTGTTTTATCAAACATGACACCAATAGGAAGACTGCCAGTTAACACTATAATGTCCACCTTTATGAATCAGCTCCCAGCATATAACAGGTTGCCTGTGCAAAAAAGTATGAAGATTTCAAATCAAGCCAATCATAAAAGTAACAACTTTATAATTTCAACCCAGAAATGCGCTTGTTTCATGGATTTACGAAATGACTAAAATAAGGTCATCACAGTATATTCAGTGAACGCTACACTGGACAGAAGCCATCTGACCTCATGATTATATCTGACACTTCAAAGTTAGAGAGATATTAGAATCGGACTTGAGTCCCCAAGGGGAACGATACACAAAAGAGTTTCAGCCATTGGTTTGTTCTTTTCTTGGTCCAACAGGCCTGTAATTGATTAACTACAGAGCAAATATGTCCAACACTACCTGTGGCATGAGCCAGAGGACCACACACACACACACACACACACACACACACCACACACACACACCACACACACACACACACACACCCACACACACACACAACAAACCACACACCACACATCACCACACACACACACCCACACACACACACACACACACACACACACACACACACTTCTGTCAGGGTTACGAGGTCCATGGAGAGTTTATAAAAGTGACGAACAAGCGTACACACAAGCCCACTATATTTTTAAAGGGATAGTTAAAAAAGGGTTGTGATAAACATTTTTTTTAAACACAAAAAAAATGCACAGATATTGTAAACTGTATATCGTGCTTATAGCGCATTCATTTCCCCTGAAACTTGGATTCAACCATCGTGATTATTTTATTATTTTACAGTGTTTAAATGTTTGAGTCATTACTCACTTGTTGCGTAACTAGTAGGATGTATTTTAAGACAAGAACATAATGTGCTTTGTGCATTTTCTCAGTGTTGTTTTGGACAGTACAAACACACGTTTTTTTGTCATGTGCTTATATTTGAGGAACTCACTGGGTGTATTCTGAAAACATGCATGTACATGTCCTATTTTCAAGTTTCTGTATGTTGTTTGAGTATGTTGCTACTTGTCCCTTTTCTGTGTGCACACAAGGAGTCTGCTGTGTGTATTTCCTGGTCCTCTGTTAGAAGTTTACCTTGTGATGCCAGAGTCCACGTCTTTAATCTGTCAACAGTTTATTAGAAGGCAGGCCTACATACAGTGTACTCTACTGTTATTCTTCTGTTGACCTTTCTCTGGCCAAGTGGTGTTTACCCAGAAGAGAAATACAATGATACAGTTAGTGCTTGGATGGAAAACATCCCATGTGCCTCACAACTCTGTATTTATAGTTTATTAGCCTTTAGAAAACCACAAGTGTAAGCAATGGATCCCACTGTGTGTTTATCTGCTCTAGTGTTAGCATGTGACTCTCTAGCTTTTCATACTATATTGGTTTATAAGGTTACAGGTTGATAACAGAAACAAGACAGTAGATTTTCTAACTGGATACTGGTCCTCGATGCTTCGGAGTGTAGGGAAGCATCGGTAGGCTTCTCCTGCTCCTAATTGGATTTGGGGAAGTTTACACTCGAGCAACTTCAGCCAAACTCATTATCAAGATCGCATTAGTTTGCAACGCACTGATTAGTCCTCACCCTAAAAGCATTTTCTCTTGTAACTTCACAACTGACAACCTCTGTGCTGCTTAATAATACTGGTGTGTATTGGCTCTACCCTGCGTTACAATAACATTGCTGGTATTTTAAAGTTACTATTTGGAAAAAAATACTTGATATTTAACTATTTACAAGGACAGTGAAAAACATATTCTGGTCATGTTAATTTAAATGATGATTTCCACCTTCACTCTTTGCCTTGCTTCTTTTGTCTCTCAAAGTCATACGAAACATCACCGCCTTAATATAATCTCTGAAATAATTGTATATGTTCACTGACGACGGGCGAAGAGGACAGCGACCAAGGTGATCGAGTTTCCACCTAACCAGACATTTCATAAACAATTAAACATTAATGGGGCAGTGGGCGTGACGTCCCACTCAAATGGGGTGCTGCCAGATATTTTGTTCTGCCATTCAGTACCGGGGCTCATTGCCTATTAACGAAGTAATAGGACACGGCCAAAATGTTTCTGAGGGCAGCGATTAGGCCATATCACTTCCTCCCCCCTAAAGTACAGCAGTATCACATCCACTCTAAACTGCAATCAAAATGCATCCTGGTGAAGGTTACAGATTGAGGAGATAGATGGTGGAAAAAGAGAAGTGAAAATGGCGTTTAAAAAAAGAACACAAGTGCAAGCTTCTAATCTTTGCTGCAGCCTCAATTATGTAATCCAGCAGACTTTATCAGTGTTTTTGTCTCCTCTCTAAACTGTTCACACTAGGGTTGCGTTCCGATAATCAAAAAATCAGCTCCTAAATTCTAACCCTATCTCCTATTCCTTGACCTCTGAGTGAAACGTCACGGGGTTAAGGGATAGTGGATAGGAGAATTAAAAAGGATTTAGGAGAAGAGACTGCGGTGCTTTAGAGAATCCGACTGCACTTTCACTATCCGATGTGTTTATGATGCGCCAGCGGACGTCATGAATGTGCGTCTGCTGCTGTGGGGAAACTATGGTAACTACAGTTTTCTATACAGCGGACTACAACATGGATGTATAATAAGAACGAGGGACTCATCATCTAGAGACTCTGCACCGTGCTCTGATGCTGTTGTTTTATGCTTTATGAACGTGGACAACAGAGAAACATATTCTTCATGACCAAAGTTGGAATGGAAATAAAAAATGAAACTTATGCTCGTCACCCTCTCCCTCCGGTCCACATTAATACAAATGATCCCAATACGTATGATTGTATGAACTATGAAAATATCTTAAAATAAATACAAATGTATTTATTATAAACGTTAGTCCTTAACACCTATCACTGTGTATATCACCATTCAAACATCTTTTAAAAGTTGAACAAATTCCACACAGCTCAGTAAAGACTGTGAAATGTTGACTTTATTTGATAAAACTAACGTTCATATTTCTCTTTGATTATAATACTGATGAACGTTCAGAACAAAGCACTTTGGCAACTTACCACATACTTTTTTAAAATGCTTAATAAGCACCGTAACTTTCATGATATCATTTCTCGGTCATAATCGGTTGTTTCCGTGAACGGCCGACTGTTGAGTGACGGCAAATGCTGCGGCTGCAAGGCATTGTGGGGCAGCATTTTCTCCTCTCCTTTCGTCAAGGGAGGTCCAGTGGTTCCTAAGCTAAAGGAGGTTATAAAGGAAGTTTGAAACCTCCTTTCATTTCATTTAGAGAATTGGAACTGCACTTATCATGGCTGCCACTGACGTACTTCCGGGTCATTTCACTTGGTTAGGAAGGTTTCTAAGCTAAATGGACTATTGAAACGCAACCTTGGTCTCTGCTCCTCTTTTCTTCTGTTATTTAAAAAGAGTTCATTGACTCCCCTGTTTGGAAGGATAACACTTCTAGGTTCAATGGTTCATCAAGTTT